AGTAAGGCACTTGTTACTAGAAGCGATGCACTTGTTACTAGTAGCTTCTTGTTACGGCCTGTTTTCTTTGTTTACAACCGTTTCGTTCTCCCCGTACAGGTGATCAAGATCCAATCCTGGCGAAAAGGTGCGGCTGCATGTGTGCGACAGCGGGGGCTGTGATCCGGTTCTGTTTCGTTCGATCGTGCGAATTGCACATCGCACAGTTCGATCCTTTTGCGTGACGGGCGAAACCCCTCCACAGTTCGAAAAAATATAACACAAATCAACCGGATCGAAGAACGAAGGCTTGATATTACTTGTATAAGATCCTCAAAGTATGTTCAAAACATCTTTTGTCCAAAAGTCCTGTGGGATCTCATGTCTCACGGCTCACGGCCCACGCTCAATCCAGATTTCGACGTGGATTTGGCCAGGTATTACGGGTCGAAGATTTGCCAAGGCGCAGTTTGATTTGGAACAACCAATTTAAGCTTAATAAGTTTAATCATTCAGATTTTCTTTTGTTCGCCCTTGTCGAGGAGTTCAAAAAGTTGAGCTCTGCACGGCGCATCCAGAGTTGTTGGAAGCAATGGCGAGTGCAACGGCGCTCAAAGGGGCGGGCGGCGCGGGGCAACGTGTCTTTATGTGTCGTTTAAAACCTGTTTTCACCCTTTGTTTCGTCTTCCTTTCAACTTTGCTCGTTGCCAAGGCGACGGGTTTATCAAGACTTGAGACAAGCGGTGTATCTGGCACAGGAGAAAACACGAAACGCGAGAAAAGACGAAAGACGGAAATGAGGGCGAAACAATTGCAATTGATCGAAAAAGAACAGCACTGAAAGAGAATTTTTACGGCGCAACGAAATTGAACAATCAGGAGAGGTGGCGGATGCATGCTGCCAAATCGCAGATGAAGAAGCTCAAGCAAGAAGCCAAGGAGGCCACAAACGATAGTGGCTTCAAATTTGTTACTTCATATTACGGGTATGACTCGTCTTGTGCTCACCGCCCCCCAAGCTTGCCCCGAGAATTTCTTGTGAACAAATGACGAAAGATGAAGACTTCTCTTTCGATGATGAAAGAGGAAAAACCGAAAGAAACATGAAACGGAAACGGAAAACGGAGAACGTGTTTGAAAGCTTCGGCTCACGACGTGAGTTCCGCAGGTTGGAGCGCCGGCCACCTACAAAATGGCGCGTTTGACGGGGCCGCCTTTTCTTTTTCTTTAGCTTCTTTTGTACCTTTTCTTGTTGTTTTCTTTGCTTTGGGCTTTCAAGTTCGAATCTTTTTTGAGGCTGATGGCCAAAAGCCACAAGGCTCAGGAGACAACGTATTATTCTAAAAAGGTAAGTGTCGAACCTTCCCAAACTCAATGAGTTTTGTCGAATCAACTTGTGGGATAGTCGGACAGCATGCACCGTTTTGTTAGGAGCAAGCAACATCGTTGCGGAAAAGAAACGACGAGTGCCCCACAAGTTGACGACGTGTGACGTGAATCTACGTGAAATGACGTTTAGCGCTTTCAGCTTCACCAGTAAACCTTGCTTGTTCTTTACCTTTGTGCTTTGTTTTGGGGTTCTCTCGGAAAACAGGGCACACAGGAAGCTGGCCACAGTCTGTGGCACTGGCCCAAACTGGCCGTTCCGTGGTCGGAATGTTCGGGCGCTTTTGCCAATGTCCCGGTTTGATGTTTTTTCTGCCAATGCCCCCCTCGCGGTAGACCGTACCGTCAGGGCCTTTGATGGTCTTTTTCGCCTTTGGACTAGTTTTCGCTCTGGCTTTAGGAGGCTGCTGTTGTGGTGAAGGAACCACGCACCTTGGCACCTGGACTGCATCACGGGAGCCACATGCCTTGCACTTGGCAGTTTCTGCCGCATCCTGAATGTCTGGTCGAAAAACACTCCCAGACAACCCGGAAAGAGATTGCAGTCGGCAGACGAAGCCAGAGTGCTCACAGTTCCAAGAAGACCCCACCAGAGAGTGAAGCCCAAGGGCCCAAGGAGACCATGCGAGATGCACATCCGATTGGGGGCAAGCCAGCCGTCTGGTCAAGGAAAGCCCAGACCATTGCCTGGCACACAGCAATTGCGCATTCTGACCGAAGCACACCCAAGACCCTCCTCAGCATTTGCAACAAGCAGACATGGAGGAAGTGCGCTTGACCAACTTGACCAGTCCCGAGCCTTTTGAAGCTATTCAAGTTTGCTGCTTCTTTGGACCATTGCCTTATGGAATGTTAACTCCTTTGCCTGTGATCATGGGGGGCAGCAAAATGTAATGGAAACAGCAACAAGGAATCTTCGCGGCTGCAGCATGACGGCGTTTACGGCGCTTTTGTTGCCACCAGCGAACATGAGGCTGCTCACGCGGGGCCGTCCTCGCTTCGGAGGTCGTCGCGCCTACCAAAACATGAGGCGAGAAGACAACCAAGACTAAGACGACGCTGTCGTTGTGTTGCAAGTCCTGATTGCATAGCAGCCCTCTCGCCAAACAGCCAAGAGCCCACCCTCATTCCAACCCTAATGAGCTGTAAAGGCTTGATCAAGACAGCTGTCTGGACGAGGGTATGATGTTGCGAGCCTTTGACCACCTTCAAGTACACCGTCCAGTGGATGACCAACATGTTGGCGACGCCCACACTGCTGCTTTGTCTGTCACTGGTGCGCGCGGGCCAAGGCCGCAAGAGGCTGCAGGGTATGCCCAGCGAGGTAACATGTCGAGGAAAAAAACTCCCACCGACGCCTTTCTTCGAAGCTATGAAGATGTGGACGAGGAAGAGTCAGAGAGTCCTTTTTTCTCCTCTAAAAAAGCCTCTCACGAAAAGAAACTACATGTGGAAGGTCCTGCGGTGTCAATTGCAAGGAAGCCTGAGGATGACCTCATAAGGTTTGTTTCTGAGTTCTTTTCAGATGATCGCTGCCAACTGTTGTTCTTGGTGGCAAGAGCTGGACACCTTTAGTCTGCCTCCATCAGCTCGAGATCGAGCCTGACCGAGGAGTGATGCGGGGAACCCCTGCCTGACAAGATCTTGGACGCGTGGAGGGTGAAGGAAGGTTCAGTTGATTGCATGCGGCCTGACTGAATCTGAATAAGTCCACTGGCTGCCTTGCGCCAGCGAAAGGGAAAAATGGTCTCGTCCACACCTGAGGCGCCTGCTTGCCCAAACCAAGTTTTTGATATGTTCTACACGTGTCTTGTAACTGCTTCCCACCTGCCAACCTTGACCATGAGCTGGATCACAGTGGGCGCCACCGGACCCCAACCGCGAGCGCTGGAGCACTGGGCGACGCCTCGCCAGATAGAACGCCAGCCTACAATTGGCGGATAGAACGCGAGGCTGTCAGAAATATGCCAGAAAATTCAGATAGACTGCAAGATACACTGCCTGTCAGTTCCCAGTTTTCACAAGCGAGGAAGTGTCAGCGCAAGCGTCAGGACATTGTGCATGGATAGTCTCAATGCTGTTCTGTTACGAATCGCCCCCCATGTTTTGCAAAGAGGTGCGCTAGCAGAAAAGCAGTGTTGTCAGCCGTGGGCAACTTGTGTAGCGTGAGCGGGGCTGTGCAGAGGCAGGATAGAATGGGCGCCAGGCTTGAAGAGGCGTGTCGGACTTGCCCTGGTTGATGTCTCGCAGCGACAGGCTAGAGGTGTAATATCAGGCATCGTTGCGCACATCTTGACACGAGCGTCTCTGCAGCAGAACTTTGTGCCTCGAAAGCTTCGGTACTGGACCATTGTGGGCAGAGGCATCATTGGGCGCATCTTTAAGCTCCTTCAGGTGGTCGGCTGACATATTCATGTCCTGTTTAGACATAAGCCCTGACAGCTGGCGCACCGGCATGCTTTCTGCCTGTTTCTACTACCATTGGACATGTTTGAGCTACCAACGTGAAGACAAGTGGAGTGAGCAGAGCTGAAAGGGAAGCTAGGGTTGTGTCGGTTGTGTCTCACATGACCATATGCTTCAGACTGAAAATGGCTTGTGTTCTGTGCGATGCTTGCCATGGCATCAAAACGAATGTTGGAATTGCCATGGTGGGGACGGTGGGGATCACTCGAAGTAAGGCCGTTTGTGTTTCGTTCTATTATGCCTGTTTTGAGCGAGTGTCCTGTCCACCCCTATTTGTCCGCTGTGCCCTGCGCCCGCTTCTTTTGCTGTCAAAAGAGGTTGGAAATGTTTGGAGTCTATGCTGCTGAGTATACTTTGACTATGTCTCTGTTGTTTATCAGTTTTTCTTTCCAAACACCCGCATCTTTAAAAACTGTTGTCTGTTTTTCTCTTCGTCCAGGTTGGAAGCTGTGCAGCTACAGCTGCAATCAGAGAAGAAATCTTTACAGAGCCGAGCCGCCACCATAGTGAATGCAGATTGTACTTACTATCATTGTTCTATCATCATCCCTATGGTTGTTTGTTTCATTTTTGTCCGCCTTCAATTCAAGGCGAAAGAGCTGGAAGAAGCACTGGAGAAGTTGAAATCACAGATGGAGGAGGCGAGTGAATCGATTGACCTGAAAAACGACTTTCGCCAACCGACGAAACAGGTGAAAGTTCAAGCCGAAGAAGCTGCAACACTTGCCGCCAGCAACAAAGTCGTTGTAGAGACAGAGAGCGCGCGGCCAAGATCAGCTTAAGACCATTTTGCAAGTTGTGGCAAAGGCAGAAACATGTTGAAGGTGTTTTCTTTAGCGCGTGTCATTTTCAATCTGGTTGTTCCTCTTCTGCTTGCGAAACTGGTAGATCCAAGACTTGAGACCAGACGTGCTTGGTTCTGCGAATGTGTTTTGTGTTTCTTGCTTCATTGTTTTGGTTTGTTCGTCGCGCTGCGCGTCGCTCGTCTCTGTAGGCTTGAAACGCTTGGAGACTTCATTGGAGGAGAAGACCACCGAGATCTCCCAGGAGAAGACCACTTCGTTTAGCGTACAAAAACCGCAAAGCAACAAGAAAGAATGTAAAAATGTTTGTTTTTCACGCTTCAATTTCTACAAAAAAACATCTCTTAGACACTTACAGTACCTTCTTCCGATTCTTCCTTTTGACACTGCTTTTCGACGTCGAGGTCAAGGAAGAGCTGATGGCCTTGAAAACGGCTTCGGCCAAGCAGCAGGTGACGTGGTGACATGGAGACAGTGACAGACCATGTCTTTCTTGTGGCAGGAAGAGCTGCATGAAGCTGAAGGTGAGTTGACAGACCAACTGTGAACCGTAGGCGAGACGGCGAGAATTCAGATTCTGAACCGTAGGTCGTTATCAGCAACTCTTGAAAAACACCGCCATGCAGCAAGCTCCTTAGATGACGAGCCACGTGCAATCGAAGCACATGTCCTTCATTGCCTTCTTTCTGAACCATCACTGCTCTCTCTCTCTCTCTCTTTCTCTCTCTCTCTCTCTCTCACTCTTTCGGTTCCCAGAAGATCCAACTCCGAATGGATGCCACGAGACGCCTTGTTTTCGATGCCAGTTGGGCTAGGCTGGAGGTGGCAGCGAACGCAGTGAGTATTGTGGGCATATTGTTTGGCAAGGCGGACACACACAAGATGGGCAGCGGACGAGAATTCTGCGATCAAAGAAACGTTGGTGCCATTCGCAGTGGTCTGCATTTTCCGGAAGGTGCCAGAGATGCAGCAAAGAGCAGAAAACAGCAACAGCGCAGAAGGAACACGTAGTTTGGCCGCTGCTTTGCTGCTGACCTATCGCTTTGCTGCTCTCTTGACGCATTGCTGGTGACTCGGGACAGGGGTGTGTGAAATAATACGTACAGTGTTCTTCGTTTTTTTGGGTTAGTGCATTTCTCAAGGCTCCATGCTGTTCGACCGCATTCCCATGCGGCGAACGGTTAGGCGCGAACCTTAGGTAGTGTCCCTTGCGCATGGTAGGGACACCGCCGTTTCTCTGGATTGCTGGCGCCCTTCTCGCGGCGACGTCGGATTCTGCGGGAGCCTGGCTGGCGCAGGAGGCTGAGACTCCGACGCCAAAGAGCCAGATCCTTTCTCAAGCGGGTGAACTTAATAAATTGAGAGCGGTGGGCAAACACAAAAGGGCACGTGTGAGGAAAGCAGTGGATCTGTTGACCGTCCATCACGGCTCTCACGTTCCAGCTACAATGAGTCTACAGAATCAGAAATGGGAACGCAGACACTGCAATGTTGTGATGACATACATGCAGGTGCGTTGTACCAAATGTCATGGTTGGTGGGAGCAATGCAACCGTGCCAAGTCGCGTTCCCAGTCGCAGAGAAAGAGGAGGGCTACCGTATTCCAGCAAGAATTAGAGCTATTCGAAGAAGGACGACGCCAAGCCATCCGAACCCCAACTATGCTGCCTTCATTTGTGAAGTGGGATGGACTGGGACAACCATGGCAGAAGTCAACACCAGACGGAAGGCTGGCAAAGGTCCAGGCAGAGGAGACTCTCGAACTCCCACCGCCACCACAATTGCCACCACCTCCCAAACCGGCCGACGAGCGCAGGAGGTGGCGCCAGAGGCCAGGGCTCACATCGAAAGCTTGCAGAAGAGTATGGGATCGGCGTTCATGCCCAAATTGGAGCAGGACATTGTGGCTGTTGCAAGGGCCAGTCCCAAAGCCCCAAAGCTGGAGATCACGCACAAGCAAGCACGGCATCAGTACGATGCGGCCAAAACTCATTTGAAGGAAGTCGATGGCAAATGGGTTCAGTTCAATCAGGGCTTGCAGTTGGCATACAACCTCGAATACGAGGACTACCGCAAGAAGCGGGAGGCTGCTATCGAAGAGGTGAAGGTGAAGAAGCAGAAGCTGGTGGACATTCAGGAGCGCGTCCGGACATTCGCACTTCAACAACGTGCAGGGGGACGACGCCCCAAAAGGTGCAGAGGCGCCGGAGCTCAAGTTCACAGAGCCTGTCGATCTAGAATCGGACGAAGAGCTCATGAAGGATGCGGAGATGGAACATCACAAACCGACATTTGGTCGGGTCCAGAACTCACCGACTCGGCAGGCAGACCATCAGCTATAGGCGGGATTCAGAAGAAGGTGACGCCAGAAGTGGCAACCGGCCGTTGAGCTTGGAATGGACAGTTCAATCATCCTTGGGGTTTGGAAGACTGTTGTTTTTCTGGGTGTTGATTGGCTTTGCGGTGTCGTTATGTGGTCTTCTTCCAGTGCTATGGGTGGGAAGTGGAGATTTTTTGGCGGCGGTGCTTTGGAGGTGCTGTGGCCTTGCTTCCTACAATCTCTGCTTAAGGATTCTGATGAGGGCAATCTTCTTCTCGATGTCCTACCCCACTCGACCACCGGGCAGCCTACGGAAAGGATTCTTTCCTGGGTTTGATGGGATTTTCTTTCCCGTGGTTGGTCCTTCTCTCTAGTAGCTGCTGGGGGGTGACCCAGGGTAATGTGACGGTAGCCAGAGCATATGAGCCAGACGGATTCAGGAACTGAAGGGAGCTTTGAAAGAGGAGCGGCTGAGCGCCTAACGAGTGGGCGCGGTGGCTCACACCCACTGGCCAGTTGGTCCCCTCTGAAGCTTTCGCTTGGTCTGGACAGACGGGGAGATGACGATGGTTTTGAAGAGACGATTGATGACTCTTTGGTTTTTACGCAGCGGATGGGTGACACCCCTTTGAAGTGGCTGACCCACAAGCAGCTGCTGGGTCGGGGACTCTATCGTCTTTGGAGGCGCCCCTTTTCTGCTCTGCGCGAGTGATGAGCTGAAGGGAATCCCCAGTAGTTTTTGTTCAACTTCAAGCAGATTCCCATTTTATTTTGTCCTGCCTTTGGGAGACGAACAGGGGATCTTGGTGCAGGAGGTTGACCGTGTGCCCCCCACTTCAAGACTTGATCCTTTTCCAAGATGAGCATACATACCGGCTGCCGATCATGATGCAGGTGGTAGCTGCGGATTTTGATCTTCAGGGGTCACTACTTTTGGAACGCCCGTATGCACCTTCCATGATCGATTCAAGAGGGTTGTTTGCGTTTGGGGGTCCTCCATGTAGATGTGGTGAACTCGAATGTGGACTTTGACGCAGAGATTTTGGTCTGGCCAGGTTGCTTTGTGAGGGTCAGGTGTGGACCCGCCCGTGATGACTTGGAGACGGACATTTCTTCATGTTCTACGACCTCGGGAGTGTCCAGCAATTATTCAGGAGAAGAATCACCAGAGGATTACCCTCTCCTGGCTGATACCGACGTTGAGGAGCGCGAGGCAAATACCTATGCTGCTCATGATGTCTTTTTTTGAGGTTGAAGCATTCCAGCCGGTGCTCGATTTTCCTGAAGAGACATACCATTTGTGGAGAGCTCACAGACAGGTGAGAGGACTTGACCGGCTGAATCTTGACGCTATGGCCTTCCTTTGGGTGCAAGGTTCTCCACCGTTGCTTCTTATACGATTTCAGGCGGAGAACTTGGACTACTACCTGGGGTGATGTGGTGACTCTTTCACCGGCACACCTGATCCCACGAGTGAGAGCTGCTCTTCGCCATGAAGTTCCACCTCATCAATCATGAGCTGTAGTCCCCCAGACTGATGATGCCTTGAGGGACGTCAGGACCACTTTGAAATGCTGGTTCAGGGGTCACAACGAGGAGTTCCATCCTTGGTGATCTTCCACTATGGCACTGAGGCCAGACCAAGAACCCGTAAGGGGGCGCCAGTCTCTACTGGGAGCCCGGTGACTTCTCTCGAGATTGTATCCCAAGCGGGGGGCGCAGGTCTTTGCCAGGCGCTCATGATGCAATGTCTATGCTACCTGGAAGGAGTGGCCCCTTTTGGTAGGGGTTCGGTGCTACTCCGTGGTTGGCAGAAAATTGATGTACATGTGGTGGACCAGAGTAGAGTATGTGAGCAAGAGGTGCCTCAGCAAAATCCGGCAGATGAAGAAGAGGATCTTTTGGCTCTTTTTGACCTTGGGCAACATGAAACAGCGGGTTCGAGTTGGGCTGATGCGCGACAAGTGCTTGTTGATCGACAGGACACTAGCTGACCCGGCTGTGATTGTTGTGTGGACATTTCAACTTCGCTGGGCCTGTGTCTCCTTCTTTGAAACCCGCACCTTCCCGGCCCTGTTAAACGCGCTCCCGTCATCCTTTTTCCCGCGGGAATTGTGGCAGAAGGTCAAGCTCTACCTCCCCAATCTGCAGATGCGAAGGGAAACGAGGAGTGCCCAACAGCAGGAGGCCATGAGAGAACGATGGGAACCTTATGGCCAAAACCCCCATAAAGTTGAACGAGGAGGTGCTTGCTCGACCGGTGGTGGACCCGTCCAAGTGTGTCCAGCATCTTGCTGACCTTCCAACGTTGACTCAGATTGAGACATCCTTGAGGAGTGGCCCGCATGTCTATGACGCAGTTCTGCGGGTCATTGTGACGAGGATTCACGCTTTGTTTTGTGATTCCTTGATGGCTCATGCTGCGGCAGACTCTCCGCCGGGGCAGATTGAATGATTCAAACACCAGGAATGTCTTTTTGGCAGCCTCTATGGGGGACACACAGATCTCCAGGCCCCACAGATGACTTTGAGCCAAGAGGGCTTTGAAGAAGAGCTCGTTGAGCGGATGCTCCACTCGCACGGAGTGCTCATTGAAGGCATCCTGAAAGCGCTTATGCGTGAGTTGCATGGCTTCACCTGGTCCGCGATTCAGGGCAAGGGGGTTCGCGCAGAGGGAGTCCGCTGGCTGACGCGCTTAATTTTTCATTGCCTCATGAGCCCCATCGTCAAGCAGATTGAGGAGCGGGTCGGAGACCGGCCTATTCAACGACAGGCGTGAGCAGCTTTGCGATGCCAAGCTGTTCAGTCAGGTGGTCTGGGCTGACGACCTTGCTGCGCCATTACTGGCCACTCACAACGCAGAGACTGCTTCTGCGGTGGTCTTTGCGAGTAAAGGCAAGACAGAGGTGGCGGTGACTTTTGCCAGTCACGACGCCCGCAGATTCCGGGAGCGGCTTCGGCAGGACCTTCCATGCCAGTTGAGGTGGGTAGCTCTCCAAAACCTCTTTTCTTGGTCCTGGAGAATGCCTGTAAGCACCTGGGTACTACGGTCGTTGCATTTGGAAGTCAAGAGGTGGATTGGACAGGCCTGGAGTACTTTCAGGCAGCTTGCCCGTCCCATCTTTTTGAACAAGGCCCTTCGGGAGTGCGCCCGCATCTTCTTGCTCGAAACTCTTGTTTTCCCCAAGTTGCTCCATGGATGTGGCAGCTGGAGTGGACTGACATGTGCTGATATACATAGGTTGACAGTCTGCTATGTAGGTCTCCTACGACGAACAAGATGCATGGTGCATCTGTTCTGAGTGATCAGGCAATTCTGCAGAGAACAGGCTTGCTCAGCGGCGGTTCCTTTTGGCTGCGCGTATAGCTCGCCTTGTCTTCTACCTTTTTTGCAGCTGGCGCCGATGGCCACACAGAAGGCATGGAGGGTTCATGGCGAGCTGCCACATAGGCAGCCGTATTGGTCCAAAAAAGCACTCGGGTGGAATGCAACGGCTTGGATTGCTGCCTTGCCCGGAAGTGGCAACTACTAGCCGCGGCCGCGGCATCCGTGTTGTCAGGCACGTGTTCTTTAAGGCAGCTGCGGGCCCTTGTACATTAGCCTGCGCCTGCCAGAATTTAGCTTTTGGCGTTAGCTGCTTGCACTCCATAAGCCGAACGGCTTTCGAACGGATGCGAATGAAAATGAGAATTTAAAATGTGTGCAGTTTTCGTGCGACATGCGCGCAACACTGTTGAGGGATAGCGTGGAATTTGTTGCACGCACTGCTCGGAACAAGTTTTCGGATTTACCGCACATGATGCGTCTGGACTGCGGGAGCTGTGGTAAACGTGTCGACAAAAACACGTCGAGTGTGAGCTGAACTGGGCGGTTTTCGGGTGACCGTCGCACATGATTTGGCCGATTCGGTGAAAGTGTGAAAGTGATATCATAGTGATGGTGTGGCACCTTGTGCAAACTCGTGTTGGTGGGCCGGTGTGGGTGTCGCATCTGGGAGTCTTGATGCAGACCCATCGCGATGAGGATGGCCGTCCTCATCCTAAACACATGTTTGAAGTCTTCATAAATCCATAAAACATGTACACTTCAAACATGAAATTCATCCTTATCTTCAGTGATCTTCACTTATACGTGTGACATGACAATGTACACTTCGTACATCACACATTGATCTTCCTACTTCCGACACTTCACAGCGCATCACGCCACATCAAGCCCTGCCCGGACCATCAAGCCCGGCCTACTTGTTGACTCTACATATTCTCATTTTCATACTCCGGTGTTTTTGTGCCCTATCGCCTACTTTTCTAGTGTTCGGGCCTGTCACTTTCATTTACAGCATATGTTTACGAATTGAAAAAAGCGAAGACGAATACCATGAAAATAGGTCGGGTGAGCAGGAACTGGTTGCAGGATTGACGACTTTCGAGGTTTGACGAATTAGCAGATGGATATTGAAATGTCGAAACATGTCGCATGCGAAAAGTTCTCTCTACCTTTTTCTAGAGAAGAAGTAACAAGAAACTACTAGGGGTTCCTGGTCGTACTAGGGGCTGGCATCGCTACTAGGACCATTCTTGCTAGTAGCACGGTTCGCTATGAAGAAGTCGAAACGACAAACTTGGGCACACCTTGGCGATGTGGGCACCGACATGGCGCCGCGGCATCAACGCTGTCGAGCTCTAGTCTACGCAGGCTTAAAAAAAACAAAAAATTGTTAATTGAAGGATTTGATGTAACAACAAATAGTCAAAACAACACACACAGATTTTTGATGCTGTATAAGTTTGGCTGGCATCTTGCTTCAAACCAGCAGAAGCAAGAACCATACACATGTAGTTGTTGCCTGGTGCGCTTGGTTTAGTTCGTTACCTTCTGTAAAGAGTAAATCAATGCAAAAAGACAGTCCAAAAAGATTACGAAGAAACACCTTCTGGAGATAGGGAAAAAAAAAGAAGGAAAAAACACTGTTCAAGTAGAGGGGGATCAACATGGACCAAATATTTGTCATGCTCTCAGTTTCGCAAACAGAAACACAATTCCGTTTACAAAATGAGACGAAACACACAGGTTCAATGTGTGCCTGGCGGTGTGGTTCAGTGCTCGCAGCGACGCCCCATTCTTCCCTTACACACCTAGTGTTCTCAGTTTCTGTTTCTTAACTTGTACAAGTTAAGTCCATCACCAAATCCGAGTGCTAATCCGAGTGCTCATATGTAGCTTCCTGCTATCTAGCGTCTCTAAGAACGGCTTCGATCGATCGTCGTCTTCACCCACAAATCCGAAAAAGAAGGTAACGGCATTCGAAAAGAGCGGATTCTGAGTCTGTGACCCGGTTTCCTCAGGTTGTGAACCTATCCACCATTCATCAACCTGAGTGAGACCTGTTCGAAGCGGCATTTACGGCAAAATACAGTGTGTTTGCTACATTTCTTTCGCAAGAAGTTATTTTCCAAGCGCACCTCTTCTGTCATTAGCGTTCCCTTCTTGACTAGTTTGCTCGAGTACCACGAAGTTCCTCCTTTGATTCTTCAGCCTGTTTATCATTTGTCTCTCATTAAGCTGCTCCTGCCTTTATGGCACCAGACCCTATCCTTGAAGTCATTTCACCACCAAACACCATTCACTTAATGCAGTGTTTGCCTCATATGTCTTTTCGCTTTTCGTTGGTTCTTGAGATTTTCTTCACATGTTTTTAACTTTTGTGGTGTCCACGAACTGCTCCTGCTCTCGAGTTTTTCTGGTCACGTCGTGTTTTTGCAATGCTCTTGCTTTGATAAGATAGAGAAGCAAAGAATGGAACACCGGAGAGCAATATTCAGACAAGACGAGCTAGACCAGATCCCAGGGAATTGGTCACCGGCTCAAGCAAGGGAAACACCTTGCTTGCATGTATTTACACATTTGCACATTGCATGTATTCTCGTCATGGAGGAAACAAACTCGTGCAAAGGAAGGTTCTAAAATCGTATTGAGAATAGAGGCTTCTGGACGGTAGGACAGTGCTTCATACATCCCCTTTCCAATCTCTAGTGACTCTAGTCTTGTGATTTTCAAAAGACAAGACATGTTCTCCGATTGTTTCTTCCGTTTCTTTTTGTATTTTCTCTGTCTTTTCTTTCTTATGTTTTTTTTTTCGTTCTTCTTTTCTCTTTCTTATTCTTACTATTGTCCGGATAAGGCTTCGAACCCCGAAAGCCGGGACGTGAGCTCGTTCCAAGGTCTGACGGGAAGTCATCCATGGCCTCGACACGACCGAGGTCACGAAGCCTCGTTTGGTTTGTCTCTTTTTCTTCGTTTACCAAACTAAGCTACTAGGAACAAGTGCATCGCTACTAGTAACAAGTGCCTTACTAGTAGTAACAAGAAGCTATTAGAAACAAGTGCCTTACTAGTAGTAACAAGAAGAATTTAAACTAAGCACCAAACAAAGGCCGAGAAAAGACGAAAGAAAAAGACGAGAACAGAAATCCCTCACTTGCCAGGCGCTAATCGACGGGACAGCGCAACGTCTTCATTCAGTTGGCGGGAGCTCAAT